ATTTCCTATTTATGATAAAGTGTTACAATATTTGTCTGAATGAAGAGCTGATAAAATAGGGGAAGAGTTGTGTCCATAGCACTAAAGCAGAGAGAACTGGACTTTAATTGACCCAAATGTTTGGTGCCATATGGAGGTCAAGTGTAACTAAACCAACAAAAAACTAGATTAATCCATAACTTAATTCTTTGACAGTTATTTCCATTTCGTTTGAAAGCCTACTGACCAACAATTGGATGAATGACATTTGTTTATTCGTTGTTTTGTGGGGAAAGTGTTATTCCATCACTTTCTCACTCACTATAAAAGCTGACCATTTCTTCAATCGATATCTCACTTGAAGTTAGCATTTGTTTCAAAGAAAGTTAAACCAAACTTCAAACTTCTAAACAACTAAAAAACTTCAACAATGAATCAAAAGTCTTTGATGTTGTTTGCGGTGTTGTGTTCGCTGTCGCAACTGATGCCTGTCCACTGTGTGAACCCTTTAGGTGTTATCCATTGGGGTAAAAAGGGAGTCGTGGCTGGCGTTCATAAATCGGTGGCTACGGCTAAGGCTATTGGCGCCAAAGCATCCTTCTTCCCGATTGTCGGCGCAAAGAAAGCGCTTCTATTGGCACCGATTACTATTCCTCTGGCTATTGGTATGCAATCAATCATTTTTCTAATTTATTGAATTGATTGCTAATACATTGATCATAATTGTCAGGCGGAAAGGCTATTTTAGCGGCCAAACTAGCGGTTCCGATGGGCATTGGAGCGGCAATTGGCGCTCCGATCGGTGCTCTCATTGGTGCCAAAGCCGGTGCTCTTAAAGGGGCTCTCATTGGAAAAGCATTGATTGCCGCCAAACTAGCGTTGGCTAAGAAAGTAGCCGTCGGTGCAACCGCTCTGGCAGTCAAACCTGTTGTCATCGCCGCTGGACTCAAAGCTAAGGTAAGAATATTTTATTTATATAATTTAAATGTGTTTATCAAAGATAATTAAATGTGTAATAATAGGCCGCCAGCGCTGGTATCGGATTGCTTGGAAAGGGTGTGTCTGCGGCCGGATCTCTGGTCACTAAAGCTGGCGATCACTTAAAGTCTGCGTCCCATAAAATAAATGGTTTTACATCCACTCTTCACAACAGCATCAGAGTTCCGACATTTTCTTTGCCTCAATTTTCTCTGCCATCACTTCCAGTATTGGAGACCAAGTCCTATCCGAAAGGACCGACTTCTGTTGAATACTCTCTCGTGTAAGTGCCGTAGACTTAATACATGTTTACAAGTCTTTAGTTAATGATTGTTTTCAAACAGCATGAATGGTCCGCACACTGGATATCACTCCAAAAAAGGCAGTTTGTATTCTTCTACTAACTATAGACGCAGACGAGAGGCACAGCCAGACCCGGCACCGCAGGCTTCAGCCAACGCACAACAATTGCTACAACTGGTCAGATCTCAAAACGCACAGCAATGCCTTCAAAGGGTTATCTGCGAACTGACCGCTAATCCCAACTCTCACGGCAATGATGGCGTCAGATTTGGACGAAGTCTTATGTAAGCAATTCATTGGCCATTAAACCACTGATAGTAATAATTTTTTGCTATTCTTTTATAGTTTACTAGAATCTCAGACCGACAGAGCGTCGGCACAACAGTACAGACAGGCGGCCACTACTGGATCTCAGGTGCAAAACGAGCAGTTTTGCACTCAATTCTTCCCCACCTGTGCCTTTCAATCGGGAGAACTCATTAGACTTGGAAATCAAATGATCGGCGGTTAATGTGATCCTCTCTATTCACTTTCATTAGATATATTAAATTATAATTAAAGTAAATTCAATTCATAACTAAATAATTATTACATTAATTGAAATACTTGTCAAATTAATTGAAAATATAATAAAATCGATAAAAAACATAATAATTTTGCTTTTAATTTCAATATATTCACTCTTTAATGAAAATTGTTTTATTGGAAACTTTTATGCATTCAATAAGAATCACATTTTATATTAAAAGTTTACAATTGATTTCTAATCTCCTATTAGTGTCAAAGAGTCGTCTCTATTGAAAATAAAACGATGACATCCGCATCAAAACACTATTTTTGATTCACATCCAACTCCTTTCAATTTGTTACAAATTTTGATTGAATTATAAAAATTGAGAAAAAATGCAATTTAATATAATTGTCACTTTAATACTGCTATCATTATGGATAAAATCAATCGATTCTCTATTCACTCCGGGAATAATGTTTCCTCTATTAATAGGCAGGGGTTCTCTATACGGGGTAAAACCAAACTAACCACAGCCGTACACAATATAAGAGCGAGAGGAGAGGGAGAGCTCATACCTAATAGACGTGTTTGCTTCTTCTCTATTGAAGTTATCTTATGTTTGAGAAGTCTTGGCTGACTACAACAGACCATATGTGCCGCCAATCGATGATTATGACTATATTTATCGACGAATGCAAGAACAAGAGTATTACGATCCCAACGATGACCATAATTATGATACAGACGACCCGCAGCCTTATTATCCGCCACCGCAGCCACCAATTCCAGCAAAACCTGAGCCCGTCATTGATAACCAATACAATAGATATCAACGAAGACAACAATACCCGCAGCCCTATAGACGTCAATATAAATACCAATCAAACAGTTATCGAAATCGAGATCTTTTTGTGAATTCTTCGGCATTGCGTTATATAAGACAACAATCACTTCGTCGCCATATCTTAAGAAGAACCAGAAGAATGTCCAACGATATCATCAACAATAAAATATTTGAAACTATATTATTAGTTTTGAATAAACAGATTTTGAAAAATGATAATAATATTTATAAAGAACTCAATTAAATAATTTAAAATTAATTATTTTTCAAAATTTTATATTGATTGTCTGTAAATTTTTATTGACCATATAAAACTAGATATTAATTACAAATGTAAACAAAAATTGTTTTTATTTATGAACAGAATTAAAGGATATGTTTAGTTTGAAAATTTGTTATTTAATTTGACAATAAAATTTTAAAATTAATCCCAAATTTTATGTCCACATAAACGGCTCTTTCATCGCTTCCGCTCTTTTGATTGAATCGCTTCTTCTTTTTCTCTTCTTTTCTCTCAAAAGCAAAAGACGGAGATTTAGCGGCATTAGATTCTATAGTAGGTTAAGAACGTGTTCAGAGAGAGGAACTGTACTCTTAATGCCTGTCGACAGGAATTTAACAAAAATAATGATCAAAAAACAAACAACAATATGAAATATTTGCAAGATTTCTAATACGGTATTAGTAATACCTTTGCCGACGTAGTCCTGTCCGAGTAATCGCATAATTTGTGTCCAAATAACAAGTTTAAGGACTAATATCTGAATGAGTGCCAAATATTGACCGACGTTTGGCAGGAGTATAGCACTGGCCGGAAGAAGTTGCCGCTTATATCGCTTATTGTCTGCAAAATTCAAATGATTAAAGTTTTTACTTTTCAATTATAATAATATTTTTAAAAATTAATATTAAAATTAAAAAACAATGAATACTTTGAGAGATGCTATCGTCCGATAGCAACGGCACAGAATATCACTCTGGTATATAACGTCTCTTTATTACTCTTTTTTGTTAATAAACATTTTGTTTTGAGTAATTGAAAAATAAAAGTATAAAGTAACAAAAAATAAACCAACTCAAAAATGTGAAGAAAAAGTGAATATTTTTCGCTCAACTGATTTATAAAACTCTATTTTAAATCTAAAACAAATACTTCCTGTTTGTTGTAATAATTGGAGAGCATTTGACAGACAGTGTTGGATAGCGTCCAGTAGTTAAGCCTTTTTAAGATCAATAAAAATTTCAATTTCATGGATTCATAAGACTTTTTTGGTTTTGTATTTAAGTTACTGACGAAAAACATTGACCTGAAGTGGAAGTAATCAAATCCATCGCTAAATACAGTATTAGACATGAGAACAGTATTTTGTTTATTCTTGTTTCCTATTTTCTCTGCAAATATTTTAGTCATTTATGTTATGATTTATCATTACATTTGAGATTTTATCGTTTAATAAATAAAATTTAAACAACAAATTATACAAAAAACATGAAAATTTCTCATTTTGCTTTATTTTTAAACATAATTGCAATTATAATCGCATCCATTCGTTGCATACATGCATCAAATCCTATGAATTGGTCCAAAAGTCGTAAGAAATCATTGATTCTCTGATAAACATAACTGTAATATAAAAAGCATTAATATTTTCACAGAACCTAAACAACAAGAATATAAAAATTTTAATCAAAGCACTGGAAAACTGATTGCGAAATCAACTAATCGTTTAATTATGAATGAAACACAAGATTTTGGTCATAAGAAGCCCATAAACACAATCAATGAAAATCAACTGATAGTCAGCCCAACAAATACAATGAATATCAATACTGACAGTAAAGTAAAGGAAACCCAAAGAAATGACTCAAACTTAGGAATTGAAGACCTGAACACATCTTCAATGTCTGACTATAAAACTGAGTCCATCTCTGATAATACCGATGAAGAGGTTATACCGACGACAACACTGAAGCCAACGTATCTTCACAGCGAAAAGTTCGCGCAAATGCTTAATAACATGTATTACAACAAACCTATGGAAATGTTTGACTCTAAGACTGACTACAAGGGATCCAAACCTATTGAAGTACAATATAATGATGATTATAACTACAAATCTGATAACAATAATTACAGTTACAATGCGATGAACAAACCATACAAATCTTATTATGACAATAACTATAAGCATTCAGTCGATGAAAATAATTATTACTCACAAACACCTAATAATTCAGATAATAATATAATGGAAGATAACGAAGAAGTAAAGACTGGGACGTGGTTGGGGCCGGGAATTGCTGGTCTCATCATTGGTATTATACCTCTCACAACACTAATCGCTTCATTAATACCCGCCAAATGTAGACAAGGACAGTAGTCATGGAGAGGAAAGTCGGCTTCTTCTTCTGTTTAGTAACTGTGTTATGGTCTCTTTTCACGCCTTGTTTATGAGTTAGTTTAGTTACTTAATCTCTTTGATAAACAACAAAAGACGGATCAAATTTGAAACTATCTGTATAAACGGAATTTTTTTAATTTTAAATAAAATTAATTGCTTTAAGAACTGAATCGTGTAACTAAAAAATATTTAAGACTAACAAGTAAGTTTTAAGTATTTAATCCTACAATAATGCTTAAATGTGTTTTTTCAAAAATATATTTTACATTATTATCTAATGATTTAGCGTTGAGTTTATATTGAATGCCATAAAACATAATAAATGTCAAAATATTTCAATATATTGTACCTTTCATTCTTGAGTTTTGCTAAACAATTTTAAAACAAGGTTTAAGCAAAAATCATAAGCGTAGCCACGATTCAAGACATACATTTTGAAATTATATCGTTTAAACAAAATATATTGCTCCACAAACTTGATTCTATAATTCAATTCTATAAGCAATAACTGTATTCAGAATTGTAGTACTTTTTCTGGTTTGCATATTAATAACCTATAAAAAGAATTAGATTAATTAATGTATTGTTTTGCTGCACAGTAATTTATCTCACTTTTCATAACTTAACGTGAAATTTCTACTTTTACGTTATTTGCTTATAATTTATGTTTTAATGTATTTCTAATTAAAGGTTTGGGAAGACATTTCTCATCTCATTTTCTTAACATTTAAGGGCTTTTAATATTGTTATGAATTATAAAATATATTTTGTTTATTATTTATTTACGTCTAATTAAAATAAACTGCATTCAGAAAAGCCATTCATTTAATATCGTGTTTGATATGAAAATTCATTGCTTTTATTGCTTTTGCAAAAATTTTTATTACTTTTCTATAATAGAAATTTTATTTATCAAACATATGTGTAAAATAATAATAATAAATGCAGATTATGACTGATTGACCAGACATTGAATATTACTTTTTACATATTTATCTGACAACTAATAATTCATTTTATTTAATACTATTTTCTAATCAAATGCTAAAATTGATTCAAATCTTAGTTTTGTCGATAAAATCTCATCCCATCCGCCAGTTTAGACACATAAATACATAAATATCTAATCGATTATTAACTCTTAATTAACTGTTTTGTTGAATAAATGTTTAAAAGAAATGAATTAATAAATTAACAAAAAAAGTTAATTCGTGTTTTGTATGCATTCGTAAGACTTTGAGAGTCAATGACTTGGGCTCTACAGACAGAGAAAGACCTTTCGTATAGAGTATAAGTAGATTACAGACCACTCTATGCATTGAATGACCAATTGTTTAGTACATTCACTGCCTATTCAAATACCATCGAAGAAATAATACAATTTTAAAATTAATAATTTACACACAAATAAAACATAAAACAAACATTAAAATAAAAAACAAAGAAACGATGGATGAAACCAATCATTTATAATAATCGTATGGAAAGTCTTTCAGACCCAAGAGTCGTAACGTTTCATTAAAATCACTTATTTTAACCGCAATTTAAGTATTTGTCGGCATTGAAAAAATTGTTGAACAATCGGTTTTGTTTGAATTCTTTGATAAACAATTTGAGAACAATTTTAAAGTTCATATTTTTATTTTCAATAAAGAGTGGATTAAAACTGGTTTTTTAATTCATAAAAACAAGACTTTAATTATTAATGCTTTTTTGTTTTGGCCAAAAAAATCATATATAATTTGAATACTTTTTTTTATTTTCTCTATTAAAACAAAAACTAAAATTAAACACTACTTATAATATTGCCTGAAAATATATATTAGTTGTGTTGATATGAAAATATGGTATTAAAACAAATAAAATCTATATAAAAAACATAAATAAAAGTTATTTAAAAGTTTTTGGGATCAAATCGATGCATCATTGGAGCGAACGTTTTCACAGGCTTTTGGTAATACATATTATTAAGCATTTTTGCGAAGTCTTCGCTGTGAAGATATGTACCTTTAGGTGTTGTCATCGACACAACCTCTCCATCCGTTTTATCAATGATTGACTCACTCTTATAGACAGGCATTGGAGAGAAATTGTCCACATCTTTCATCTCTAACTCCGAGCCATTTCTATGAGTTTGTAATTTGCTGTCAATATTGAGATGTGTTTTATTTGTTGAGCCGTTCGTCGGTTTACCATTCGCTGCATTTCTATCTTTGTTGACCACATCTTGTGTCTCATTCATAACTAGACGACGAGTTGTGCTCTCAATTATTTCACCGATTCGTCGATTAAACGATTGATGATTTTGGGGACGAATTGCATGAAAGTTAGCGTTTGTTGGTTTGAAAGGATAATGGAGTGGATCTAATCCAAAACGATTTGTTTTGATGGGAACTCCGAGTTGTGTCAAAGATAACGGCGCTCTTTGTCTGTCAGGCGGACTAAATGCTAGACTCGATGCCAATGGTTGAGGGAATAGTGGGGTTCGTGTGTTTGGCGGAGATATCAAATCAATGATGGCTTGAGGTGTGGATGAAGTGATTGTATCGATCGATGAATTGGTTGAAAGAGTTGTTTCATTTTGTGGTTCTTTGAAAAATTTATGACAAAATTTAATTAATAGATTTTAATTGCATTTTATTCAACATATTGTATACAATAAAAAGCAAATTATATTTCTTACGATTTCGGAACCAATTTAAAGGATTCCTAAGAAACATGCAGTGAATTGAAGGGCAGATAATGATAGTTATTACGAAAAATAAAATAATATTAGAGACTTTCATGTTTTGCTTATTTTGAATCGACTTTATTTAAGAAAAGACAAAAACTTAAATGATGTGATAAATCAAAGAAACGAATCACTTATTTATTTGCAAAAATAGGAAATAAAATGTGTTTTAAATGCGAAGAGGATATCAACAAAAACGAGGATATGATTTATTAGTGTTAATAATGGTATTAAGGGATCAAAGTCTTATCAGTGACCGATTTGGTCAATACATTGTAAGGTCAGAGACTATTCTAACCTTTATAAAAAGTTGAGAATTTTTATTGTTTTGATAATAATATTGTACTTATCTATGAATAAAATAAGATTTTTTGTTTCAAAACATTTATTTATTTGAATTTATCTCAACATGAGGTGTATTATACAATGAATGCATTGTTTTATTAAATCCTGATTTACATATTCTGTACAATTCTATGTCTATGTCTATGAGGTCTTCTATCAGGTCGTCTATAATTAATGTCACGTAAAATACTTTGGCTATAATTAGGTCTAAATCGATGTCTATGTGGATGTGTCGGATGTCTTCGGTGTGGTCTGTAATGCTGAAGATATCGGTGCGGCAATCGATGAGAAGGGTATGTCTGCGATGATTGAACCGAAAGGTGGCCTCTATTATAAGGTTCATAATCTCTATTATTTCCATAATTCACATGACTTTGAGAGCCATTAGTGGCATAATTTTGATTGAAGAGCCCATTGCCAGCCATATCTGTCTCATCGCCAGTGCTATAACCGTTGGCGGTCTGCAGAGCGAGCGTACGATTCCTCAGTTCTTCTTCTCTTTCCATTTCAATTCTAAGCTTTTCTTCTCTTAAGAATTGACGCCTCAGTCGAAAGAAATCTGCTTTCAGTTCAACGAAATGAAGCAAAATTCCTTCAAAAATCAGATAAAAAAGTGTTATATATTTGTATTCATGTAATCAATGATAGAAGAAGTGATGGCCAGACAAATGGTTGAATGTGTATCACCTAAAACAAGTATAAGGAGTCCCATAACAAATATGATTTCCATTAAAGGCATCTGAAATAATAGAGAGACGGCTAAGTATGTGAAGCCATTATAAGATGAATGTCTTGGCATCGCTCCCATGGAATCCATAATCACTTCCAAACTTTGATTCTTTAATTTGTAATTATTATTAAGAAATTTGTCTTCAATTTCATGCGTAAACATAATATGAAAACTATTTAAAAGAAGTAAGAAGAGAAAAATGAGTCGAGAAATTAACATTTTCTTAACATTAATAATGTTTTAAAAGAATATTTATTAATGAATTGTCGATATATTTGGTGTTAATATAAATTGAGAAATCGGAGCACAAATTGGATGTTTTTCACAGATTTCGTGTATTCATAAACCCTTGACATTAGAAACCATTATTCATGGCATGACTTAAGAGATGATTGTATAGACTTTATAATAGAAAACTATAGGCGTTAACAAAAATATTTGAGAGAGAGAGAGAGAGAGAGAGAGAGAGAATTGTTGTGAACAGTTGTGTACAACAAAGTGGTGAATATAAGGAAGTGATGCCTCTTATGAAGTGAATACTTAAATAAACGCATATCTGAATACCGGATACTAAGCTAATAAAGTATTAATCAGTTTTTCTCAACCATTTTCCTAATCAATACATATAGCTTTGAGAAGATGTTCACAAATTCATATATTTTCTCTCAAATTGTTATTAAAATTTAAATAAAGTGCAGAATTTTCTCAAATTAAAACCTATTATAAGTTTTTGTTTGAGAATAATTATAGTAATTAATTGCCATAAAATGATTGATGACTTTAATGTTTTTAATGCTTTAAATTGGGAATTAAGTGATCAAACAATTTAGTAATTATTTTTTTCGGCGAAAAATATACTTAATAAAGATAGTAATCATAACGATAACGATAAATGAAACACTAAATGATTTAAATAATTATTTAATCGCAACTTTATTTTCAAAGATTTTCAAAATAAACATGAAATTACAAAACGGTTTAAATTTATCAAAATTAACAATTATTAAAATGAATTACATTATGATTATATGAATGAAATAATGTTTATGCGAAATAAATTATATGTTTTAAATGTCTAAACGAGTGTTTAAAAGACATAATTTAACTCAAACTCTTCAAAATTGAAATAAGATTGAGTCCATCGAAAGGAGCGCTACATCTGTACCTCACTTTACATTCATCTTCCGCTGAATTCATCGCTTCTTGTATTTCGTTTAATATGTTTTCATAATATCGTCGCTTATAAGACACGTCTAATGCACTGAAATAATGAAAGAGTGAAATAATAAAAAACATATTTTAATGTCATTGAATGATAACATTATATCATATGAAAAACAGATTAATATCTTTTGAATGATTCGTACATTTTATTGTCTTTTTTAATATTTTTAATATACTTTTAATGTGCAAAAAAGGCATTGAATTTATGAATTATTATCAAACGGAAGACTTTTTAGGGGTTAAAAAAGTAAAATACTTATAATATAGTATAGGAATTGCGGTCTGAATTCATTATAACTGAAGCTGTGATTTGAATGACTGATTAAATCAAGTATTGAAATGAAAGAATGAAAGAAAGAAAAGCTCATAATTTATATTTTGAATTCATAATCAATCATAAGCTGATAATTATTTTGGTTATATTGATAATTGGTTTGCCATGAATTGCAAATAAAAACAAAATGAACAAGATGGATTGACTATCGATATACGAATAGCAACTAATTGTATTAATAAGTCAATTAACCCGAAGACTTGACATCGAAGAATAGGTGTAAATATAAAGTCCATTAGTTATTGTAAGCTATAGTTCGTGAATGTATTGAATTATTTCGTGCCTCAAAATCATAATTGTTCGCAATATTGAAAGATCGGTGGATCTCAAGAGTTCATGTCTTCATGTCTTCATCTGTAAATCGTGTTCAGAGACTATTCAAGGAATCCTTTTATATTTAAATTGATTGAAATTTTTCACTGTTTATTATTTTCAATTCTATTATAATATTATATCACTTGCTATCCATCTCTTCTTTTATTGAGTATAAAAAACATATTTATTGATAGATTTGAATGTAAATAAAACCTGTTTAGCGTTCGCCGCGATTACGAGAGATGTAAATAACAAAATCCTATTATAATGGGCTCTCATTTTATTATATAAATATAAATATATATATTTGTGTGCATTTGCTTTAGAGAAATACCAGTCAAGCTTTGCATTTATAATAAGCACTACATATTAAAATAATTTTTTTCGGATTATGCATAAGATTTTATGAAAATATATAGTTTTACGCTATATTTAGTTGTAAACAAATATTGAGACTAAAAAGAGACAGATTTTCAGTAAATCAGATCCACTTTAGCCTTAGGGACGTCACTAAATAGACTCAACGTTCGGCTCAATTGTTGCCAAAATATTATACAACAAAATATTTATTGGGAAATAAGTTTTTATGACACATGTGTTGAGTATTAAACAGGAGTTTATATATTCAATACAGTATTCAAATGGATATATTTTGCTAAAGTACTGTTTAGCACAATATATACCGTATATAATGATAATAATAGTAAAACTGTTACCCGAATACAAAATTGATGATTTTATTGAGAAATTTGCCGCAATAGAGGTATATCTGTGCGCTCTGTCTGTTCTCACACGCCATACGATACAGACATCCGAAGTCATCCTTATTGATGGACCACATGTACGCTGAAGACCAGCGCTGGTCTTCGTTTGAAAACAACGAGTAATAGATTTGATTCACTAAATCCTCGTTTAATTGTACGGAAGACGAGTTGAAGGTTCGGGCGAAGGGAATGCCGCCTAAGTTTGGATATTTCCAAAAAGATATTTTGCCCAAAATTCCAGCCAATATTAGGAGGCCTTTAAATACCAATAAAATCAATGCATTCGTTATATTGAATGTCAAAACCTAAGGATTTAAGACATTAATTACATTAATAATTGTACTAAAAATATTGAAAAAATCAGGAATTTGTGTAAAAATATTATGTTTTAAAAATGATGGGTTTTTAAACCATTAATGTCAACATTTTTAAAATTCATTTTTAGAAAATAAAATAAAACAAAATTTATATATTTATAGAGACAATGACTTATATTTATAATTATAAAATCAATGAGATTATAAATAGTTTTGTCAATACCTTAGGTATAATATGGCTAAAGTAAATGTTTTTATTTATTTTTCAAATAACATGATTATGTAATAAGATTTTAGTAATGAATTTGAAAAAGTAATTGAATCGAGAGATGAATTGACGGCAAAGTTATCTCACCTGCGATGTAGTGATCGCTCGCTTAATCCGTTTGACGGTATCTGAAATGTATGTTTGACTTTCATATGTAGACGTCTTTATGTGATTTGAATCACTTTTATAAACATTTAATGAATAAATTAGTGAAATAAAATGCAACAAAACATATAATGTAATGAGTTTGTAGGCAAACATCGTTTTGAAATTAGAAAAAACTTTGTTTAAAAATAATACTTTTCTAATGAATAGAATTTTCAAATCTATTCAAGAGTTTTGTTTGAAAAATATGTTTTACAATACTGTTTGTGTCTTTCATTATATGCTTGCCATTAATGTAAAGCCAATATAATTCGTACCATTTGTTTATAAAGGCACTGAATTCCGAGATTTTAATTGTTTACTTTAGGGCTAAATTTTTTTTGGCTTATAATATAGTGTATAAAAATCTCGACAAGTGTTGAAATTATACGTATAAAGTAGACAAGAGAGCAAACAATTTTCTATTAACTTATTATTATTAACAGGAAAATTGGATTTCCGTTTTCTCTTCGCTCTCTTCTGTTAAATTTTATGCATTCAAACAAATCGATGACAACAAGTGATACAAACTTTGTATTACAAAGACATTATTTTTGAGATTGTTTTTAATATTCACGTTAAGAATTACTTTAGACATTCACGAGAGATGTTTGTGAACTTATCTTTGGTTTACAACAATTATATGTCGATAGAAATATATTAAATTTTAAAATGTATAAATTGTTATTTAATAAAATTGTAAAAACTTTAAAGTAAATTATTTCAAAACACATGTTCGTGTCTTTAAAAGCAAACTGAATTAAAACATGTAATTATTAAGAGATTGTGTAATGTATTGGAGAGCAGAGCATATTCTAGTGCACAGAATAGCGCTATTCATTCGGTGTATAAAATAATATTATAGTTATTTAATATGAGAGCAAAAATATTTTTATTGTATTTTGTTTCTATACAAAAGGAAGCAATCATATAAACCCTAAAAATGTGGATCAAATACTTGCAAATAATAGGTATTAGTTGTTGAATAGACTATGATTTTAGCTAAGATTTGATGCTATTTTTTTGGTCAATTCATCCAATCGGCGAAATCCAATTCATATGAGAGTTAAACAGTTTTTCAATAAGAGATGACTTGATATAATTGGTTGTGTGACTGAGAGATGGATAGGTATTATATGGCGAAGGAATGCCGAGTATCTGAGGGCCATAGAGGGGAAAGCCTGGCCTAAAAGGTATGCCGGGTCTGAAGGGAAAATTTTCCGATTCATACACAACTGTTTTGGTTGCGGGCGTGTATTGAGTGGTATAAACTGCTGTTGTTTTCTTAGGCACTGACGGTGTTATGTATACCTTCTTTTTGAGTAAAGGGAGTCTGACGACTGGCGCTGAAGGCAATGGTTCCACTATGTAATTATCATATGGTGTTTGAACAATAGGCGACTGTGCAATAGGTAACTGTGTTATCGGTAACGAAACAACTGGCAATTGTGCGACAGGATATTGCGCTATTGGGAAAGGAAACTGGGGTATTGGTAACTGTCCCATTGGCAACTGTCCCATTGGCAACTGTCCCATTGGCAACTGTCCCATTGGTAACTGTCCCATCGGAAACTGACCCATCGGTGTTTGTCCCATAGGGGGTGAATAGGCTGGATATGTCGGATATGGTGGGTATGAAGGCATTGGCGATGGCATAGGAGAAGGCATGGGAGAGGGCATTGGTGACGGTATCGGTGAAGGAATTGGTGAAGGAATTGGTGAAGGAATTGGTGAAGGAATTGGCGAAGGGATTGGCGAAGGAATTGGTGACGGCATTGGTCTCGTGTAATATCCCGATGGGTTGTCACCGCTTTGATGGTCATTATTTGCATGATTATTATAACTGTTAGCATTCATTGCCTGACGTTCTTGTGTTGGTTTGGAAAACATCTCAAGAGTAATAGGGTTTCTACTCGTTTGGATTAACTCCACAGTCAACGGGGATTTTGATATTTCTCTAATGTTATCATCAATTCTAAAATCTTGACTT